CCCCGTGGCGCCGGGCGCTGCGCGGACACGGGGTGACCCGGTGGGGGGGGGTCCCCGTGGCGCCGGGCGCTGCGCGGACACGGGGTGACCCGGGTGGGGGGGGTCCCCGTGGCGCCGGGCGCTGCGCGGACACAGAAACCTCTCTTGCCTGACAACCTAAATAAACTAGACAAAAACCAGTAGCATCTTAGTGCCCGTGTCCTGGGGCTGAGCACTGCGGCGCGGCAGAGGTCGGTGGCGGTGCTGGCACTGGAGCCCAGGCCCTGCCCACTGGACCATGCTGTCTCTCGGCACTAGAGATGCTGGCAGGTCTGTTGGGCTTTACAGAGCCTGTGACTGGAGAATCCCACTTCATCCCCCAAGTATCTGTGGCTCCCGCACTGGGCAGCAGAGATGCCTGTGGGAGGGAAGCTGTCTCCCCTTCCCATTGAGTTATAATTACAGGGCTGCTTACGCGGTGGGGTGGGGGTGGAACCAGGCTAAACAAATCCTCCTCCCTCACTCTGGGAGTGAGTCACCCCTGGTTCCTATCCCTCTCCGCGGGAGAGCGCTGGCCTGCACAGCAGCCGGAGGTCGGGGGCAGACAGATGGGACTGAGCAACCAGACTCTTCGGGTCGCAGCCTGTGCAGGCATTGGGTTTGATGCGCTGGCGTGAGTTACGTGCTGCCAGTCAGGGAGCGTGGAGCTTTTTGGGAACTGCAACAGGGGTGTCCAGAGTTCGGAACAAGACCAGTCCCAGGTTAGTCTCTGGTTTAGTTGCTTTTCTATTGGAGCAGGGTCCTGTCCACTGTGACTGCAGCCAGCAGCTCCCAAATGCTGCGCCTCTGTTTCCCAGCTGATCTGGGAATTGGGCGAGTTAATGGTCATCTAGTGTCCAGATACCCTGGTGATGGGCTCACACTAGGTACGTGGATGTGTGGCGCGACAGTGCTTTGCAAGGGCTAAACAGGATTTGTTATGTTGTTCTGAGACTTTCTTTACTGTGTGTGGCATTTAATCAGGTCTCAGAGTCCTGACTTTGCAGCCAGACATAGCGCTCTGCATGGGAGTGCTATGCCCTGTTACTGTGCCAGCTTCATGTGTGGTTTTGAATAAGCAGATGGACAGCCAGCGAGGCAGCCGCAGTTTCTGCCTAATGGGGCATGAACTTTTCAGATTCAATTCCTTTTTGTTCAGGTTTCAGTTTTGAGGTGCTAGAATTAGGAGTAAAGGTCGGGATTCTGTATGTCCCTGAATCAGTGGTTTTGGCTTTGCCTTGGCATTTCCTAATCTGGTAAAATCAATATCCCAGACTAAGTCTTGATTCCTTTGATGTTCTCATTCCAGTGAATGAACATTTAAAGCAAGAGGAATGTGCCAATGGGAGAATCTCTTGGAGTCTCCCAAAGAATTTCTTAAATGCAAAGACATGGCAGATTTATCAGTGGCAATGTCTATCTCGATGGATTAGGAGAAGATGGGAGAACAGCGTTTTGGGGATTGTGCGCAGGGAAGGGTAGACAGCTCTTCACATTAAATATCTGTGCAGGCTCTGCTGTTCAGAACAGGCCTGGTATGGAGAGGAATCAAAGTGTCTCAATTGTAGATACTTTTTTTGTTTTCAGTGTTTTGAAGTTTTCACAGCCAAACCAGGAAATGTAGTAATGTTGTCTCGTGACCTTCCATTGTGTTTTGGAGGGGATGACAATAGAGCGTTTTCTAATACAGAAACAAAGGGAAAATGTTGAATAAGGTTTTTAAATGGTGTCTCAACAACCTGGTGTGATCCCGAAGGAAAAAAATTTTTGTGTGTGCCTGCTGCAGTCTGACTCCATGCTTCTCTGAGGTAGAGGTGCCCCTGAACACTAGACTGCTGTTTCTTTAACACAATTTAATGGAGGCAAAATGCTGTTTTAGCAGGTTGGACTTGCAGCACTGTGGGGAAAGGGAAACTTGACTGTTCTGGGGAAGTGCATTCTGCAAACAGAGGCTGTGGTGCCCACTGGAGATGAATCTAACGCTTTGTTAATGTCTTGTCTTATGCTGAACGATGTTAGGAACATGGGAACTAGTAGACTGGATCAGCCCATAGTGCCTCCTAATCCAGTCTCCTGTGTCTGACAGGGACCAGAATTGGCTGCTTCAGAGGAAGGTGCAAGAAACTCCCTAGTGGACAATTCTAGAAAAACCTGCCCATTGGGGAAGTTTCTTCCTGACTTTGTCAGTTGGAGAAGTTCTTGCTGTCCTGGAGCCTGCAGAGTCACATTTGCCACTGCTTTGTCTTTACTTTTATTTTTGCGCAGGCGTTGCGGTCTCTGTCCTGACGCTGACTGGGTCTCTTTACCATAATATCCGAGTGTCTTGGCCTGCAATGTACTTTTCCTCAACAGCAGTGAGGCAGGGCAGGGCTGTTATCCCCATCGTGTAGCGAGAGGCCAAGTGACTTGCCCAGGATCCCTCAGGGAGTCTGTGGTAGAGCAGGAAAGTGAAAGCATGTCTCCAGAGTCCCTGACTAGTGCCCTCAGTCACTTCCTCCTAAGGAGAGCCCTGGCTGTTAAACCCCCCAGCAGGAGAAACCCTGGGAGCTGCAGAAGGTATGTGCAGAATTCTCCTCTGCGAACTCCCTCAGCCAAGGGGGAAAGAAGCAAAGGGGGAAATTCTGGGTTTTCCCAGAAGAGACCAAGTTGATGGAATGGCAGACGGGCTCTGCCGGGAGTTCCGAGCCAGGCCTTGCACTGAGTCCCAGCCCACCGAGCACGGGCCCAGATGGCAGATGGCTCTGCAGGTGAAAGCCCTAGTCTCAGGTTGCTCTGGACTTGGCTGCCCCGGAGGAGAGATCTCAGGACTGCATTGGATTACTTCTTGGCCTGTTCAGTGCTTGCCCTCTTTTGCAAAGAGAATGCAATCGTGGCTCAGGGTGAGAGACCCTGGTGATGGGTGTGGGTTAGCATCGGGGTGGGGTGCCGGGACATCCTGTAATGACCGGCTCTTGCCTTCCTGGAAGAAGCACTGTTGAAATGGTTTGTACAAATAGCAGTGAAATGTCCTTTGTAAGTGTAGCTGGCTCATGGGTTTAGTGGCACCTTATTTGCGCTCAGGGTGATGCCTGGTGAGCTGGTTTCTCTCTTATTCTGGGAGGATTGTGTTGCTAGTAGCTTATCTGAGGAAGAAACTGGTATAACGAGACGGTGTGTTAAACTGAACGTGTCCAAACAGGTACTTAATTATGCCTTGTGAGTGATGGGTTTGCCCTGCTGAATGGCTGAGGTTTCCTGTTTCTCACCTCCTCTGAGGGAACGGTTCACCACACGTGGGCTGTTTTTTGGGAGCGTCGGGAAGGAGTGAGGAGAAGATGGGTGACTTCCGAGATGCCCATAGGGTAAAGTCTGGGGGCCAGATTCAAGGATGTGAAGCCAAATGAAAGGCCTGTAGTTAGAGCAGGATGTTGGGAGTCAGGGCTCCTGGGTCCTATTCCTGGTTGCCTGTGTGACCTTGGGCAGGTCACATCCCTTTTGTGAGCCTCAGTTTCTCCTCAAAAATCACCTCTTTGTCATGTGGTGACGTCCAGAGGCCCCAGTCAGAATCCGAGTCTGGGCACTGCACAAACACAGGTTGTTTTATACTGACCCCTGCGAACACTGTCCCACCTTGTGGGGCGGGCTAGAAGCATAGGCAGTTAATTCTTGGTAGATGTGTGGGGCATTGGACATTAGCGTTAGGACAGGATCCGAGGGCGCAGGAGTGCTGTAGTTCTCGCTGAAGGATCTGGGCTTCTTTTCTTTAAATGTGCCTGGGGAAAAAGAAAAACCAGCCCACGCAGCAGGCTGACTGTAAGTATGTTTGTTTAGGACCCAGCTGTGGCAATCTGGCCCTTTGTTATATAACGGGGAGCATTAAATGCGATGGGCGGTCACCAGAACGCAGCTGGTACAGGCGGAAAGTGCCACTCCTGGCAGGTTATTCTGTAATTATTTGTTACAGGCTGTCTCAGCCCTTCCTCTGGAGCATCCTCAGTTGGGCACTGGGGCAAAGCACGGTCTGGGCCAGTCTTGTCAGTTCCTAGGATGACAGGATTTTGAGACCCTCTTTGGGGCTTGGAATTGACTTTGTACCTTGTATTTGTGGCGTCACCAGTGGCTGGGGGGTTGTATTATTTTGCTACCCCAGCGTCTGTGCCTGTGGATGTTTCCTGGGGTGGGTCTGGGGCAGTGTCAAGGCAGACGGGCCTGTAGACTCCTTGTCATAGCTGCTTTGGCTCCATGGTTTCTGCATATTCACTTCCTGCCTATCCCAAGGGGGTGCTAATGCCTGGGTTACTGGCTGAACTTGAACGCTGCCTTCTGCTGACCCTGGAGAGGGGAATGCACCGACCTCGCTGATCCTCCCCCAGGGCCGTGTGAACAAGGGGAGCAGCAGCATACGAAGCTCTGAGCGGTGTTATTCTAGTGCCTGTCTTAACTCCCCTAGCACGTGGCACAGACCCAGTGATTAGCTGGCGTGGGGCCCCTCCGCTTGGTGACAGTCTCAGTATATTGGCAGGTTTCGCTTTTCAATTTCACCCAGATCAAAGGTGGTGTTGCTACCTCCCCCATGTCCCCTCAAGGACCCACATCTGTGGGGTTAACAGCTGCGAGTGGCCGGGGGCCAAGGTGCTGGCCTCTCTCGGCGGTGTGGGTCATGTCCATCTCTGGAGTGAGAGGCTGGGGTGCAGATCCATTGCTGCCAGGAGATGCCACGTTGCAGCCTTGTGACTCCGGTCTAACTGATGGCATCTCTGTTTCTTGCCTTGCCTTTCAGCTGGTAGGTGGATGACGGTGAGGGAGCAGAACAGGACAGTGGCTCCCATAGGGACCAGGGACTGGGGATAGTGTCTGTGCCCTATGTGATGGTGGGGGGAAGGCAGCTGGTTGAGTCCCCACCTCACCACATGCTCAGTGTAGCAGTTCTCTGCTCTTGCCAGCCCCAGCTGTTTGCCCTCTGCCTTGTGGAAGATGGAGTGGTCAGCCCCTTTCCTGAGCCCTAGTATGTTAACCAGCCCTAGAACTTGGCTTTGGCAGAAGCAAAAGTGCTCCTGAGACTTTCATGGTGCAGTGGATGCTGGTGTCTCATGCCGATGAGTCTGAAAACGAGAAACATGCAGTCATTGTTTGGCTTTTGCAGGCTTGGCAAGCCGGCTGCTGGCATGTTCCATCCTGCTGATGCATGCTGTAGGGGCTGCCGCTCCAACCAGGCTCTGTGTGGTATGCTGCAGTACGGGGGCAGAGGAACAGCACATGGAACAAACGCTTGCGTGTGATCCTTACTACTGGCCTCTCTTGGGGTATGATGGATTAGCTTAAACCTGCCCATATCATCCCACAGGTGAGAACTGTTTCTGCTCTTGTTTTTTTCTCTTCTGTTTTGTCTCAGTCCTTGAATTTTTCCCCTGGCCCATGTGACATGCCCTGCCCAGGAGATTGTCATACTGTGTTTGCAGAAAGCAGATGTCTGCTGAGTTTGATTTTCATACTGTAGGTCACTATTAGTGCAGAATCTTTTCCCTTCCCTCTTTCATGGCAGGAGACTGGAGTGAGATCAGGGCGAAGGGTTTTGGGGAAGCTGCTTCTGAGTACTGCAGTGGTGCAAGGTGAAGTTGTGACAGCTTCTCAGCAGTTCTGGGCAGGTGGTCCATGGCATATGGATTCTTGGTTTTGGTCATTGCAAACCCTCTGCTGTCTCTGACACTCTAAATCTCTGTGTGTGAGAGGAGTCCGGATTGGGTGCCATGGCAAATCAGATCGTTGCATTAACTGTGTATGTGCCGGTAACATGAACCAGGAAGACTTTTGTGGCTGGATTCTGAAAAGCTGAGCTAGCGGCTCCGTGAACTGGCCCCCCAGTGGCTGTGTTGCTGGCAAGTTGTGGTTTCAGTTCCATTCCTGAACTGTTAGGTATTAATCCCCTTAGAGTCACAGCCATGTCTTCAGAGACCGTGCGGAGGTGTTAGCTGGAATGGCAGTCAGGGAGGGTGGGAGTAATGAGGCAGGGAGCAGGAGGGGCTGCTTGCCATAGTGAAGCGAAGGACAGGTGCGGGAGCTAGGAAGGGCAGGTTTGGTGTATGAAAGTGTCCTGACAGTAAACGGGACTCTTGGGACAGCAGGGACCCTAATCTTAGGGGTGCTCATAATGGGCTGGGTTAATCCTGCTGGGGTGGAGGGAGCAGAAGGTTCTGCTTCGAGCTGGGGAGGGGAGTGAGATTCTGTGGCATCTTTGAGGGTCAAGAAGATGTAGTGAGCAGCGTGTTAATGATAAATGGCGGGTGCTGCAGACAGCCATGAGGCCAGGGACAGAGTAAAGGGTTGTGAAGAGAAAGGAGATGTGGGTGGGGAATTGCGGCTTCAGCTTGGGGATCTCCCAGCTAACAGAGGTGAGGAAGAGAGACTCTGGGGTGGAGAGGTGCTGCAGGAAATCTCAGCAGGTGGTGGGGTGTGGGGCAGCTGATGAGTGAGATGCAGCACAACACGACTGCCTGTCATCCTGGAGCAGGAAGACCTGCTCCCTGCAAGATGGCTGTTGCTGCCCTGGGGTGCTGTGCCCATCTCTGTGCACCCCCCTCACTAGCAGGAGATAGGAGTGAGCTCAGAAAAGAACTGCAGGATGGTTGGGGCTAGAGGGGTTTGTTGGTGGGGAAATGCTGAGCGCAACATGCCTGGCTTGGAGCTTGCACAACAGATGAGTAATGGGGAAGTGGGCTGGGACGGGCGGAGGGTGTGCGCATTGAGGAGCCAGAGAAATCCTTGCGGGTGGTACAAGGAGCTGAACTGGCAATGAGAGGGGGGTGGGAAAGGGAAATTCAAAGCTGAATATCGGGGCTCCCTGCCAGTGAGTCTGTGTTAGCAGGGGCAGAGGTGTGTCCCGGGGGCAGTGGGAAACCCCTTTCCTTGGGATATTCAGAACCAGGCTGGACACATCTCCAGGAAACCTACGAAAGGGAACAAGCCTGAACTGGACCTGTGGGAAGGGCTGGGTGAGCTAATAAAGCTTCCAGTCTCACTTCATAGACTCCTAGAATATCAGGGTTGGAAGGGACCTCAGGAGGTCATCTAGTCCCACCTCCTGCTCAAAGCAGGACCAATCCCCGAAACAGATTTTGGCCCCAGATCCCTAAATGACCCCCTCAAGGATTGAACTCACAACCCTGGACTTCTCCCAACCTAGTGATGTTTTCCAGAAAATCTGGCATCTGAATCCAGAAAATGCTTGGCCTGTTGGAGTTGGCTAATAATACTATGAGGTTATCAAAGTGTTCTCATCCTCCACTAAATTAAGCCAGGGAAGAGGGGGGGCCTTGTGTTTCCAGAGGGCGTTCAGGCTGGGGTGTGGCGGGAGCGAAGAGGAGCTGAGAACCATGGAGTAGGGATATTGAAGCTTCATTTTTCAGCTCTCAGGCTTGTTTGGGTTTTGTCCCTGTGACGTTATAACAATCTCATTTACAGCCCTAACAGAGTGTCGGTGCAGCTTTCTGCTGGGGAATTAATTGTGCTGTGTACACCAGTCGCACTGCTGTTCCCCAAGGGCAGGGATTAGTCCATAGCTATTGTGGTGGCTGTGTCATTACGGTGGTGCCCAGAGGCCCTTGAGGGAAAACCCTTTTCTGCTGGGCACTGAACATGCACCAGCTGTGTAGCTGCCCTGAATTGGTTGTGATTTTTAAACCATGTGTAAATGCCATTGGTAGATATTGACAAGCCACAGTTGTGGGTCCCCGGCCCCAGCTGAGTTCTGCTCTCTGGGGTGGGGAAGGCTGCAAAGTGCAAAATCCCTTGTTTCAGCGTGTGCTGTTGAAGTAACCAACCAGCTGTTTGCAAGCCCTCTGAAGAGAGGGTTCACGCTGGTCTCTTGTCAGTGCTGAAGTTAGGACAGGGGCACATACTGAATGGCTTTCAAACCCCTTAATCTCCTACCTGTGCTAAACTCTGCTGCGGTAACCCCTGACACGCTGATTCCCCCAAATGCAGTGTGAGCTTGCAGCCCATTCTCCTGGTGGCCCTCGGTGTTTGGCTCCCAAGGCTGGTGCCGTGATATGGCTGCAGTGGAAACAATTCTTCACAGCTCAGGAACACATGGAATTCCATTTGTTTGGAGTCAGATTCGTAGAGTTCAGGGCCTGAAGAAACCATTAGATCATCCAGTTTGACCTCCTGTATAACACAAGCCATTAAATTTCACCCAGTTACCCCTGTATAGAGCCTAATAACTTGTTTCAGAGTAGCAGCCGTGTTAGTCTTTATCCGCAGAAAGAACAGGAGTACTTGTGGCACCTTAGAGACTAACAAATTTATTAGAGCATAAATTTTCGTGGGCTACTGCCCACTTCTTCGGATCCGAAGAAGTGGGCAGTAGCCCACGAAAGCTTATGCTCTAATAACTTGTGTTTGGCTAAAGCATCTCTTCCAGAAAGGCAGACAGTCTGGAGCTGAAGACGTTAAGAGATGGAGAATCCACCATGTCCCTGAGGAGCTTGTTCCCGTGGTTGATCACCCTCCATGTTAAAAACTGGGGTCTTATTTCCAATTTGAATAATGTCCAGCTGTTAGCTTTTGTTCGGCCTTTCTCCCTTAAAGAGTCCCTTAGTACCTGGAACTTTTCCCCATGTAGGTACAGACACATGGTGACCAAGTTACCTCTCAGTATTCTTTCTGATAAGCTAAACAGATGGAACTCTTTATGTCCCTCGCTGTCAGGCATTTTTTCCAGCCTTGAATAATTTTTGAGGCTGTTTTCTGGACCCTCTCCATTTTTTCAACATCCTTTTAGAAATGGGGACACCAGTGCTGGATGCCTGTATCAGTCTCATCAGTGCCATATTCAGAGGTGAAATCACCTCCCTATTCCTACACCTACTTGCTCCACCAGTCCAAAGATTGCATTAGCCTTTTTTGGCAACAGCATCGCACTGGGAACTCTCACTGAGTGTCCGTTCTGAGACTGGATCCTTTTCAGAGCTGTCTATTTCCAGGATACTCCCTCGTTCGGCAGGTGTGGCCTGCTTTCCTGGATGTATCACTTTGTATTTGACTGTATTAAATGTGTTTTGTGTTGGTGGCTCAGCTTACCAAGCGATCTGGGTGGCTCTGTATGGCAGCCTGTCCTCCTCGTTATTGACCACGCTGTCAATCTTTGTGTCATCTGTGAATTTTATCAGTAGTGATTGTGTTTTACTGTTGAACACCTTCCTCAGTGGCCAGGAGGTAAGTATAAAATCTCTGCTTGTTGGGGCCCTCAGTTGTAGCTGCCCTGTTGCATGTAAATGCCATCACAAAGTGCACCCCCTCCTCCACTAGCTCCCCAGACCTGCTGCAAGCCACCCTGCACTTGCCTTGCTCCCCGAGCTGATGTCGTCTCCTCCTAGATGTCAGTCTGGGAGCAAAGTCTCTGCTGGCTTCAGCGCATCCATTTGGGAGAGCCAGTAGCACTTGCAGCTGAGAGCAAAGCCCAGGTGTGGGCAGGTCTGTATGAGGGGTGTCCGGGGCCTCCTGTGACTGCCCCACACCCTGTGCATGCCACCCTGGTCAGCCGTGCAGTAAGAGCTGGCTGGGGTTCAGGTGAAGAATGATTTTCCCCAGTCAGTCAGTTTCCCCTTTTCCACTGCTGCCAGCTCTCGATCAGCTGAGAGGCCTGGATTCTCTGCCGGAGCTGGAACCCAGATCTGCATTGGCCAGAGGAGGGAAGGTGTCACCTGGGGTTCCACCGCAGGTCTAAGCAAGTTCACTGTGTATTGCCCGTGGGTGCCAGAGGAGCGTGAGGAGCCAGAGTGCAGCACTGGTCTCTCTGCGGAGCTGGGGCTGTCTTGGTTCAGTGGGCACGTTAGCGGTAAACTGCGGAGTGAAGCTGCCTGTCTGCTGCTCCCTAAGCATGGATACAAGTGACTCTTTGTCTTCAGAATTTTATCTCCAGACCATAGAATACCTGGGCCCTCCCATCCGCAACTTGCTGTGGTTGAGAGTGAGGGGCTCAGGGACTCTATCCCCACCCTAGCTCCACACAGGGGCGGTACAGATCACGTGAATCCCAGTGCTGACAACTCTGAGCTGCTCCCTGACCAGTGGAGCTGAGTGTGACTGGCTGCACAGGCAGTTCGTTGGGTTGTACATCATGGAGAGGAAAGGCAGAGCCTGTAGACTGCTCTTCCGGGAGCTGAGCAGCATCCCTGTGGGGTTCTCTGCTCAGGGTCAGACTGGAGATGCGGTACCTTGTATGTCACCGCTTTGAACGTCTGTAGGGACTGGAGACGTGATCCAAAGCCTGTTGAATTCAGTGGAAGAGGACTCCTGTTGACTTTAACAGGGCTTGGGTTGGGCCCTAAAAGAGAGGGGGGCCAGGTGTCAGACACCTGGCAATTGGTTCCTCTCACCGCTGCACTTCACCATGACCCGTCTCCTCCTTTTGCCTGTAAAACATACAGCCGGGTGCAAGGCAGGGAAGGCAAGGCACATACCTGCCTGCCAGGCTGGTATTCAGCAGCCTACCTCTGCCCTCCTGCCCCAAGCCCTCCCCACACAATGTGCGGGGTAGTAGGAGATTGAGGGCAGGGTGTCAGTCGTGTGCGCTGGTGCTCAGGCTGCAGAGGTCTGACTCGTCATCTCGTGGTGTTTGGCTGAGTTCCTAGAAGGCTCATTCACACAGGTCTGGCTGTAGTGAGAATTCCTCGTATTTCTGTTTTATTTGAAGCACTTGAGCAGCCGGCAGAGTAACCAGCCTCTCGAGGCCAGGCTGGGGCAGAGGGACGGGGAATCTACAGCAGATGAGCCCTGGGGAGGAGCAGAGGGAATAAGCAGAAACCGGCTTGAGCCCACCAGCTGTCCTAGGTGAGTCACTCTCCCTTGTGTCCGCATCTCGCCAGGCTCCGAGCTAGGGAGGATCTCTACGCCGGAAGACTATTTATGGGCAGGCTTTGCTATTTTGAGGTAAAGTTGAACATTTGTCACCTCTGGAAGGTGAAGGAGAGCAGGCATCGCTGGGCTCATGCCTGTTCCACTCTGACCCATGAAGATGGCCCGAAAGGTTATTTAAAACCTGCTTGGTTTTACCTAAGGAACTTCAGGGACAGCAAGTCTTGTCTGCTGTGTTTTTGCTGGAGGCTCCTTGGGAGGAGGAGTTTTCTGGGCCCTGAGCTGTGGACTGGGGCTGATGAATTGTTCAGAGCTTTTTGCCCACCCTTTCTCAGGAGTTTGGGTTAAAGAGGGGCACAAAACAGCCTGACTAGCAATCCTGGCTCCTCTTGATTCGCAGGGATCAGCTCCTTGATGGGCAAAACCAGAGGGGATGCGAACCAAGATGTATGGTTTAAAAAAAAAACCAGCTTGTTAAAGAAACCTTTGCAGGGGTGAGAAATACAAGATTATGCCCTCTGCCAGTCAGACCCTCCTTCACCTGCATGGAGAAATGAAGCTGGCATGGGAACTGTCGCTTCCCTTGTAAGTCGCATGTAATTTGATGGGCAAAGCTGTGTCTGTATCTCTCTGCATAGCCAGTTTATGGTTGTACGTTTCTCTCCCTCACTCCCTCCCCCCCCCCCCCCCACTCACTCATCTGGCACTTGTGTGTAGGAGGCTCCCCCAGTTTCCCATTAAGCTGAGGATGAAATGCGCGTGCTCTTCTCCCTGGCACGGACAGGCTGTCAGCCCTTGCACTGTGTCTGCCGTCGCTCATGCTGTGCGCTCAGATGTGCGGCTCGTAGGCCCTGCACCCCTTGTGCCTGGCCCAGGGTGCGAGTTGCTGTGTAGGCCCTTCCTCTGCTGCTAGTTGAAAATGATCACAGCCCATCTGAACATGCACCACCTCGCTGGGATTCTGCGAGCCCCTGCTAACAGCGAGAGCTCCTGCCACAGCTCATTCTCGGCTCCAGGGAGGGGAGGAGGGGGGTGATGGGCAGGCAGCAGGCTGGCCAGGAAGGGCAGCCCCTGCATCTGTTTATATCTGAACAATGATGTTTGCATTGTCCGCTGTCCCATCTGCCACCGCAAAGGAAGGCACAGTCTAGCTAGAGGGGAAAGAGCTGCATGGGCCATCCCTGTCAGGGTGTCTCAGGTTTCAGGGGACTCCTGGGCTCCCCAAACGGGAAGCTGCTCATAGACTTTAAGGTCAGAAGGGACCATTATGATCATCTAGTCTGACCTCCCGCATGATGCAGGCCACAAAGCCGTCCCAACCCTTTCCCTTGACTCTGCAGTTGAAGTCCCCAAATCCTGTGGTTTAGAGACTTCAAGTAGCAGAGGATCCTCCAGCTAGTGACCCCTGCCCCATGCTGCGGAGGAAGGCGAAAAACCTCCAGGGCCTCTGCCAATCTACCCTGGAGGAAAATTCCTTCCCGACCCCAAATATGGCGATCAGTAGAACCCCGAGCATGTAGGCAAGATTCTCCAGCCAGACCCTCATTGGCCATTGATACTATTTACCAGTGATGGCACGCTGTTCATTTGACTAAAATCACGTTATCCCATTAACCATTCCCTCCATAAACTTAACTAGTTTAATCTTAAAGCCAGACAGGTCCTTCGCCCCCACCGTTTCCCTCGGAAGGCTGTTCCAATATTTCACCCCTCTGATGGTTAGAAACCTTCGTCTAATTTCAAGCCTAAAATTCCCCATGGCCAGTTTATATCCATTCGTTCTCGTGTCCACATTAGTACTGAGCTGGAATAATTCCTCTCCCTCCCTGGTATTTATTCCTCTGATATATTTAAAGAGAGCAATCATATCCCCCCCTGTTGCTGTTACTGTATGTATTTGGGATGATGCACTTGGCGATCATGGTTCTGTCCACATCGGTGCCACTAGCTGAGCTGGTCTCTGGCCATAGGCCCTGTGCTGCTGAGAGCATGTCGTGGACCTGGAGAGCCATTTCAGTGCCATTCGGAATCCAGCTCTAGGCTGCCCCTGTGGTCACTGACGAGGAGGTTGTGAAGGCTAGGACTATAACAGGGTTTAAAAGGGACCTGGATAAATTAATGGAGGTTGTCCATTAATGGCTATTAGCCAGGATGGGTAAGGAAGGGTGTCCCTAGCCTCTGTTTGTCAGAGGGTGGAGATGGATGGCAGGAGAGAGATCATGTGATCATTACCTGTTAGGTTCACTCCCTCTGGGGCACCTGGCATTGGTCACCGTCTGAAGACAGGATACTGGGCTGGATGGACCTTTGGTCTGACCCAGTATGGCCATTCTTATGATCGGGAGGTGCAGAGAGCGGGAGGGTTATGGCTGACACAACAAAACTGTCTTGCTGATGGAATAAGGCCAGGAATCCAGTGTGCTATAGCCCATCGCTCCCAGGGCTTCCTGCGGGGCCACTCTGCAGGTCAGTTCTCTGGTAGGGGCTGGGGATTGGCGAGTCCCTCTCTGGCCTTCGGTGAGTCACTGACTCTGTAAAATGGGGTAATACAGGCCTACCTGGCTGAGAGTGGATTAGTTAATGTTTCTGAGTGCTTTGAGGCTGTGATGCTCTAGAAATGCAGAGACATGAACAGGGAAATATGCTTTGCAGTTGTGGAGGGAAGGAGCTGGGGTCTCGGAGGGGATCACACTTCTCAGAGCGGCGTGTGTCTTCCGACTGCAATGGGGTAGTGAACTGCTTAGAAACGGAGAGACAGCAGTGATTGCTCCCCACTTGTGACATTACTGACCAGCAGAAGGGGCCATTTGAGTTCATGGAGGATAGGTCCATCACTGGTAATTAGCTAAGATGGTCAGAGATGCAACCCCACGCTCTGGGTGTCCCTAAACCTCTGACTGCCAGAAGCTGGGACTAGACAACAGGGGATGTGTCACTTGATAACGTGCCCTGTTCTGTTCATTCCCTCTGAAGCCTTTGGTGTTGGCCACTATCAGAGACAGGACACTGGGCTAGATGGACCATTGGTCTGACCCGGTGCTGGGCTAGGGAGGTTATTCAGTTTGCTTCCTGAGATGAACCTTCAGGTTACAAGGAGCAGCAGCAGCTAAGTGCAGTAGTGCTGAGAGAGGAGGTGTGGAGCCAGCTGGGATGCAGCATTTCCGCCCACTGATTTGTCCCGAGTGCCATCTCTGGCTTTTGCTTTCCCGCTTCCTGTGGCTGGACGGGTAAGCGCCCACTCTCAGGATGTCTGTTTTCCATCTGCTCCGCCTGGCTTTTGTTTGCTCTCAAGGCCAGTAGGAGCAATAGGAATTGTCTCCCCCAAGCAGAGGGTTGGACACAGTCCAGATCCCAGGGAAGCCAGACAGTGCGTTGTCTTGGGACGTGGATCTCTGGAATTGGTGGCAGAAGGACGCGTGGTACCTGAAGATTGTAAACTAACTCGCTGACCGATTGTAGACTAACTCGCTGACCGAAGTGGAGCCCACCATTCCCAGCCGACCAAGAGCCTTATCTCGAGCTTGTCCTCGAAAGCTGCAAAGAGGACTGGCTGCAGGGGGTGACAGAGGTGACTCCTTCCTGGAGCTTCTCGAATCAGGTGCTCCTCCCGTGGGAGTATGGGCACGGGACAGTCCTGGCCCCTAGAATTGTTGGGGTGTAGATCGAACAGCTCCACAAAAGCTGGTGGCTTGGGCTGTGCCAGCAAGGGCAGAGGTAGTGGCCGGCTGGGCTAGGAGCATGACCTGGAGTTAGCTGCTCCATTCTTGCCTAATGTTCCTGCTCCGCTCCTAGCTCTGTTTGTCCCAGGGAATGGGGATGCTGAAAGCAGCTGCAGCACGGCCCATTGCCAGTTCTGAGTGCTCTGCTCAGCACTTTCTGCTGTCCCTGGAGCACTCGGGCTGGAGTGGGGATCTGCGCTCTTGGACTCTCCTGCAGCCAGAGCAACAGGAAGGTACGCTATGGTCCCCCTCGCCTAGACGGAGCTCTTCATGCTCGGCTGTGGTGTGCGGTGCTGACAGTGCTCGGAGCTGTGTGCGCCCCTGGGGCGAGTACGGTGCCTGTCCCTGAGGAGTTGAGACTGAAGCAAGGATTTTGGCTGCCCTGTTTCCCACTTGCTCGTGGAAACTGGGCTCCTGGTACCCTCCACTCTTCTGTGAGGTTAGTGCTTGTTGCCATGTTTGCCACTTTCGTGTGCAGCTGATTCTAGGGATGCTGCAGATGCCTGGAGGAGGCTTCCTGATTCTCCTGCAGTGAGCAGCCCAGGAGCTGCCCAGTACCGTGCAGTGGGGAGGAGACTCCAGTAGACACTTGGGAGCCCTGCCTCCCTCCTGGCTGATAGCCCAGGCTGTTCTGCTGCCAGCCAGTCCTGTCCATCACAGGCAGCTGAGACCTGAGGGGCAGCTGAGCCCCTTTCCAGTGAGTGCTGCCAGGTGGCCCTTAACAGTCGCCCTGTTGGTGGGAGAGGGGAGGGCAGCTTCCTCCCTTTCAGACTTGCCACCGGTGCCACCTTCCATGGCCGTGTGGGCCTGTGCCTTCTCCTGCCACACTCCCACGGTGCAGCCCCAGTCTGGGGGGGAAAGACCCTGGCTCCAGCAAGCCCAGGAGGCTCTGCCTGTTCTGTTGGGAGATTGCAGTGAACCTGACCCTGGGGGGCACAGGGATCTGGGTGAGGCCCAGGAGTAGGGGGGAGTGAAACAGAGGCCAAAAGGTCTGGTTTCTCCAGTCAATGCAAACTCTGCTAATGAGGCAAAAGACAATAAAGGCCCCAGCAGGGAGTGGCCCCGGCATCCCTTTTTTGTCTGCTGTGGAATATGCATTTCCTGACTGGTGTCGGTTCTGCATCAAGGAACTACCTCAGGTTACGCTGATCTTTGATCTTATCCCTCCATTCAGCCTGCAGGGCCTCTGCTGAGCTCGCCTGCACCTTGGTGTGAAACTGCAGGGCCCTCAGGCAAACAGCCACCGGACTTGGCTGA